GAGAAATTTTTTTGTTCTTTTGGCAACCGTGTTTGTAAGTACAAGTTACCTTTCGCATCACTATGCCTGTCTTACCTTACCTCTGAATGTAGCTTTTGCCACCGGTTATGCATTTTGTTTTCAGTTCATTTCTTGCTGTTCTGCTTCGATGGGTTGCGTCCACTTCTTGCAAAATATGTATGTATATCTTAGCTTTTGCTACTTGCAAACTGTGTGCGGCAATTATTTTTGCCCATCGAAATTATTGCGCGTACAAGTCGAATTTCAGACGTTGCAGCGGGTGGAAAAATTCCAACATTACAAAGTATGCAAATTGGAAGTGAAAAGTTCACCTACTTTGCTGTGACCAATTACAGCTTATTATAATAAATTTTCGGTGGGCACTCTGTGGAGAGTGAAATAAAATAAGCTTATTGCCCCAAAAGATGGTGGCAAATGGAAACAGTTGGGTGCCTTCAACTGGCAATAAAATATAGTTTTTATTAAGTTCTATGTGACTAGTACTTAATTATCGCAAGCAAGTTTAAAAATTATACTTAGGGCGATTTCTTATGAGATTTGATTTAAGTTTAGAAGAACTTATTTATGAGGGTGAAAAAAATTTATTTGATATCTTGGTGCTTCGATCTCGGTTAGCTTAGGGTAAGGATAAGATCGGTGGTGCCTCTAGTGGAAGCGCACGTAGAGCAGATAATTCACTGTATTTTGTGGTACAACTAAGAATAGGAAAGTATACTGAAGGACCTTGCCCCTTTGCATTCCGAGATTGTCGCCTAACATTCGCTGAGCTGTCTAACATCCCATCTTTCCAGAAGCAAACCACATAAAGCCAGGGGAACACCTACCTACTCAATACTCGCAACAATGCCTGAAGAGTTCGTGCGATATCGCTGTGGCTTGGAACCCAAATAAGCCTGATAACGAATCAATGATTCAATGATGGAATCAAGTGAGATGTTGGGCATACTACGACCGTCTTCGAATGTATCATCAAAGAGTAACGGCCTTTGATTTCCCTAATTGCAGTTCTCCGCAGCATCGGTGCAAAGTGATCGTTCAAATCGGAATGAATTCCAAGCTTCTTAGAATCCCGGAGTGAGCATAGTTGAATGCCTATCTGCGGTACAACGTTTATCATTCCATTTGGCGCAAGAATAGAGGTGGTCCGAACTACGTTTCCTGAAACAAGAACAACACTTTCCATACAAGTGGTTTAATTGTAATATAGTGGAAGGTGCCACTTGTCAATGACCACTTTAAAATAATATGAGGCTACCGACGTCTTTGTTACTTTTTCCTGGATGTTCGGATTACCGTAAAGCTTACTGTGAAGTATGGAACCCAGATAATATTATCTGTCAGAGAGCATCAAAGGAAAATGACCCATTGAGGAAAATTGACAAATGGGGCTTACACCTAAACCACAACTCGCTACCCAGTTAAAGAGAGTGGGTCTTTAAGAGTTTGAATAGTTTGATAGCTTAAAGCAGGTGGTGCTCGTCCGATAGTTTCCTTTTTGTACTTAAATCCAACTTGGCATGTTCTGTATACATTTGGTATACAAAATTATGACTCGCCAATTAATTACTTCATTAAAAATTGTTTGAAAAATAATACAGGCCAACCAATATGAAACAAATTCGGCAAATGTTTAAACGGTTTTTGATAGTTTTTTATGCTGATTACGAATCCATAAGTGTAAAGTTTCGATCAGCTCCATATATAGATAAAAACGTGGGCAAAGTGTAAAAAAAATCGCGTTTTTTGCAATAATTTTGAAGCTCTTGCGATGAAAAAAAGGAGATAGAATCTTCCGCATAGGCTTAAATGAAATTCGACTATCACAACATACAAATTTGAACTTGTGGTACAGGTGGTACAAAGGTAACCCCGAGATATAACCGCACAGTCTGATGTGGAGGGTTCCCTATTACAACAAATTGGAGAAGCCAAGCGTTTAGCAAAAGTGTAGGCGCTAAAATATTATTATCTAGTGCATATCTATTGTAAAATTTCACGAGGAAACATTTATTATAATATTTTAACACTCACGAATGGTATGTTTGACGACTATTTTGGAAAATCTGAATAAAATGGCATTCGGAGGTCGCTAAAGGGTTAAAATGTTCTCGGAATTTATTCGCCGAAAAATTTCACTTAAAGTATTTTCAGACAAAATTTTTATTCAAAGAACACGAAAGTCCCCAGAAAAAAAAAACCTACATACATTTGTCCCCTTGAAATATGCAAACACTTTTGTATGCTATCTTTTAATAGCATTTCTTTCCGAATAAACAGCTGCTATTCTATTTTTGAGTACACCTAATCAAAACTATAACCTTATCTAAAATTCTCACAAATGCCTCCAAAAAGAGGGTCAATACGATCCTTTGTTGAGCGAGATAATGGGTCTATGTACCCAAACTACATATGTATTTCGCTCCGATATGAATTTTAAGTTTGTTTAAAACATTTTTAAAAATCCCCAAAAAATGTAAAATAAAATCCGATATAAAAAAGTTGTTTGCAAGTTGTTGACAAAGATGATTCGGACTTTTTATTGCTTAGTTGAATAAGTTTTTCGAAAGGAGGCATCATCACAGTTCTCAAATTAAATATTAATTACAATTGTTAAATTTTGAATATGGTTTAATATTTTAACTGCCCAAAAACATGCTTTTAGAGTAAATAAAGAAAAATGTAAAAAAGTGACCAAAAACGCAACTAAAACAGTAATAAAAGAGACCAATATTAAAGAGTAAAAAGGCCATTAAGTGCCACACAAAAACAGCCATATTTACACCTACCATTTACGCCTCAGTAGTTGCTCCAGTTGAAGCAAAAAACAAATAGAGCAGTGACAACACCAAAACAGACAGGCAAATGAAATGATAAATAAATAAAAAGTCGAAAGAAAAAGCGATTAAATGGAAGCAAAATGTGGCAGAAGATGGCAGCGAATAAAATATGCAACGACTTTTGAGCGACGCGATCCTCCAGAGGAGAGGTGACTAGTAAATTAAGGCGGTGGCAAAAGAAAACAACAAAAGAGCAATAACAACAATGCAGTGTAATAGGAGCAACAGTAGCAACGCCTCGACACTTCTACAGCGTTTTGCAATGCATGTTTTGCCACGCTTAGAAATCCATTATGCTAATGTCACAGGAATCGGGATTACGCGTAGGAAGGAATATGTAATAAAAAAAAAAAATATAAAAAAAAATTAAGAAAGGAACGCAGTACTACAGTACATACATACAAATGTACATGCAAGTACATATTTGTAATGCAAGAAGGAAGCAGGCAAAATAGCGCAAACTTATTTCACTGCAGTTAACCGCGTTGTTGGCGCGAGGAAAAAGCCAAAAGTGCTATGTGCAACTAGAGTAAGATGTTAAAGGGCGCATGCAATGATGGAGATGAAGGAATACAAATGTACATACATATGTACAAAAAAGAGCTATTCTGGCTGTTAGGTGAAGTGAAAGCCAAAGAAGAGTGCGAGGAAAGACTTTAGTTGACGGGTACGCGGGCCTTAATGCAAATGCAATGCAACGCGTCGCGTCGCGCAATGGCATTATGCAAACAGTGGCAGTTGTGATGACAGCGGAGAAAAGAGATATGTAAAATACAATAAAATAAAATATTGCAACACTATGGCGGTAAGAGACAGAAAATAAAACAATTGTAAACAGGGTGTTTGGAATTGTAAAATTAACAGAAGCTGCGCTTATAATTAAGTTTATGGTCCAAGCGACTTCAATCGGCATACTATAAACTAAAGTTGGAGGATGGCCGAATAATTGCTTATTTTTTGTTGATCATCTTTCTAACACATCCTCCTTACTGAGTGGGTTAACTCAACGCTCGTTGAAGGATTTTTCAGTAAAGGCACCAGAGAGAGCGAAGACGTATTGAGCCTGCACAGACGGGAACAATGAAGGTTCCATGTAGGATTGATCTGGATCATTCTTATTGGGGCTAGCGCACTACTTTTGTACTACTAGTACGAGGAAGAAAAATTATAAAAATTAATTTACTAAATGGGAAAAGCATTTTTAAACGAAATAATATTCATTTAAACAAATATCTAATACAAAGGCGATTTATTTGAAGCAAATTAAAAGAAACAAATGCTGCATCAGTCGCCTTGGCTGAGAGAGCAAAGCTCTATTGTGCAATTCGAGAGATACGAGGTGCGAATCCTGTGTTTATTGATTAAATTTTTTTACTTTTCAATATTTATTATTACAAAAAGTACAAACAAATAACAGACAAATAATTTTTTTAATTTAAGTTGATTTTTAGAAACTTGTTTTATTTTTTCATTGTTTTTTAATATTACTTATTTCTCATTTATTTAAATTTCTTTTTTAATTTTAGAGTTTACTGTTACTTAATTTCATTTACTTTTTAAGAGCTATTATTTTTACATTTTTCTTTTTTAGTTTAATTATTTTTCCTTGTTTTTGAAAAATATTTTCTTAGATTTTTTTTTTTTAATATTTTTTTTTTATTGAATTTGCAAATAAAATTACGCTATGACCTCCTCGTTCGCAAATTTTTCAATTAGTCTTTCGAAAAAACATAAAAGAGCTTTCAGGTTGGAAGAATTAACAATAGATGCATTCTTTTGCAACCGAGCTACAAAATAACACTCGGTAAAGTAACGAAACACATGCAAAGCAACAACACAAACTCGGCTATTTATCCCAGTTCAGCCAGGTTGGTTAAAAAAACGCTACCCGATGCGTAGAATACTACCGTTCTATTTTGAATTGTTGATGGGAAAATGCTCAGGGAAATTATGGTTTCCTTGCATACATCATTAAAATTTTAAATGAGAATAAAAATTACGCAAATACATACCTCGCAATATTACTCATTTCCATTGGTTTTTGTTATAAATCCCATAAAGATAATCACATGTTTCTTGCCAGAAACCAACAGGGTTGCTCAGTAGCTAAAAGGAAATTTTACCCGAATTAAGGGTTCTTTTGTCGATCGTTTACAAAAGAATCCACCTAATGTCCTACGAAAGACTTTAGCCAGAATTGGTGTGGTAAAACACCTTTTTAGTACTTTAACACGTAACAATTTAAGTAACGTGTGGGCACCCTGTACTTACATACAAAGTTTCTTTATATGTTTGTACATTTGTTTGCGTTTAGCTGATGAAGTTGTTCCGCTTTTAACGGAAGATGACGCCAACAGATGAAGCGCTAAATGAATGCAAGCGAGGCGGAAACGGAAATGGCAAACGAAGGTGTGTTTGAAAAATGCATGCAAGAGCTTACAAAAATACAAATCTCTTGCACTGCCACTTCCATACGTACATGTATACAGTTACATATACATACATACGCAGATGCAGAGCAGCGTCACAGTTTCGTGTTGCATGGGTGTTACGTGTCAGTGCCGGTGTAAATGTCAGCGCAACATGAGCAACTACGATGAAGGATGCGCGCACGCGATGAAGGACATACACACACACAAACACACTCATACATACATACATATAATTATGCATTTATCGTCGACTGGCAAGGTAACAGAAAAATGCGCACAAAAGCGAAAGCGGTCTGAACGGTGATGCGGTCGACTGACTGCCACGCTGGCTGCCACTTTGTGTCACTGCTTGGCTATAGTATAGTATGTACATACATAAGTATGTATGGATGTACAGCTGTTTGGATAGATCCTTGTCAAGGATTCTCCTCTGCACGCAAGCAAGCTTTGCAGGTAAGCGCACAGATTTATCGAAATTTCGTTAGCTACACTGGCGCACAGCAACACACATTTTTCGCGTTGGGTGTAATGCCAAATTGTGTTGAGTTATTACGAAAATATTGCATTACGACTTTACTTAGAGCACATTGCGCGCGATAAGACTCTCACGCGAAACATGGCCGTAGCCGACGCCAGCTGGTAGTCAAACAGCTGATGGCTGTCGCTGGAGGATTTGTTGCATGCTGCATGCAACAACAGCAGTAGCTACTTTGGCGGCAGCATAGTGGCGCTGACAGCTGATAAGCAGACAGCAACGACAATTATTAGTTGCAAACGAGCTAACAACCAACAGAAACTGTTAAATGCTTGCAATTGCGTGTGCAACGGACGGTATGTTGTTGTTGTTGTTGTTCTTATTGTAACACGTTGCATCTTGTAGAGCTTACGATACAGCAGCTTCCTCTATGCCAAGCACATTAGGCGCTAAATGCAGATGATTTTATGCAGTTGTTTTTGTTGTTGTTGTTCTTGCACTATGCGTTATACACCGGCGCAGACTGGTAACGCCTGTCGTTTAGAGCGGTGTGCGAATCTGTTGATGAATGGCAGGTGCCATGTGCAAGTGAAATTAATAGGCATTTATTGTGAAGGTGTGTGTGTGTGCGCGCGCGCGCGCGTGTATGTGATAAGCTGTGAATGAGTGCTGAGATGAATGAGTATTCAGTAGAGATATACGGAAGTTTCGCTCGTGTTTGGTAGTTGTTTGATGCAAATGAGGTTTAATGCGCGGAAACGACACGGAAATTTAATCATTTTTAGGAAAAAGTGATATGCAGGTGTGGTGTAGTGACAGTAAAGTTGGCAGTCAATGTAATGGCAAATATCTACAGGGTCTGGATACGAGCCCAGTTTCTGATCAACATCAAGAAATAAAAAACAAAAAAGTTTTTTTCTAATAGCGGTCGCCCTCCGAATGTATTCAGCCATGAAAAACAGCTTCGCATCGACGACTTGCAGGTCTGGAGCATTTGAAGCCATTCGTACGACCATGCCCTAGCCAACAAAGCCCCTTTATCTGATATGCCCTGAACTATATTTATGTCGTTGTAAAGCTCATACAGCTCATCGTTCCATCATATCCGGTAACGGTTGAACTTAAATCTTCTAAATCAGAATTAAATTCAAATCACATTTTCTCACTCAACCCCTTGTGGTTTTTTGTAACCCCTTATTGCATATTTTATTTAGCTTTTCAAATCACATGTCAAATCTCATTTGCAGTATAACATTTATTCTAATCACTCCCAATAAATAGAAAGTTGAAAATCGAACTCACAATATCCGCAAACATTCGCTTTGGTTTCGGTTTTTTTTTGTAACCAATACTAAAGCTTATAAATATTCATGACTGCTCCATTTATTCACCATCCTCCTTAGATACATATGTACAATGCATATACTTAATACATACATATGCAAGTATACAAGGGATATTCGCACATGTGCATCCATATGTGAAATAGCTGTAAGTGCGCATATCCTCACTCCAAACAACACATTTGAATGCCAGCGCATATCCTTGACAGTTACTATTTATTTGATTTGATTTTCAAGCTTTTCAAGCGACTGGTTTTTTGTTTGATTTCTGTTTTTTTAATGCTTTGCGAGATGTTTTTGTGTCAATTGAGTTTGCTTGATTGTGTGCACATATGTACCCAGTGGGAATTAGGAGCACGTAATAATACCTTATTAGCAACTTACTCTTCACCTGGCAGTTATTACCATTTCCCTGCCGATCGTCCCTTACTTTTACAAAGGCATGGCCGCCTTATGTAAGTAGGAATTTAGAATGTACATTTGGTATCAGACATACTTCTGAGCCGCTTTACAAAGTAAGTTACGTGTAATGCAGAGCAGTCGCTCGGAGTAGTTCGGTGCTTGGAAATAACTTCGGCTGCACGTTATTTTGCAACTGACAACGTAATGTGTCTTCGGAGGTGTTCATTTTGCCCTTTACTAGTAGATGACATTGGCCATGATGACAATTTTGGTACTAAAAACTGAAAGAAAACATGGCTTACCTCGCAAGGTGCTTACCTATTTTCCCAGTGGGTACATATATGTATGTATGTATATGTGCTTGGAGGTCATACGCATAATATTATCATTGCGACAATCGTAAAGCGAAGACACGAGCCTAGAAAAAGTAGGGGAAATATGCTACAATAACAATACAAATGCAAAAACAGCCGTTTTCACATATCCATAATCATAATAATATCGTAAAATAATCTGTAGGAGGTGCACATGTATGTTCGTATGTACAAATAGTAATGGCAAAACAGCAGTTATAAAAAAAAAGCATCAACGATTTGTGAGCGTCATTAAAATAAGACGTAATGTAGGCGTTATGAGCCTGTTTAAGGCTCATGAATAGTTATGCTCGTTTGAATGCATGTACCCAGTAAACATTTTTGTTAAATATCAATTTGAGATGCATTTGAGAATCAGTCCTTTTCTCAAATCCCAAACGTTATTTCTCAAATGCATTCCAAGTAACCGTTGATAGCATTTTCAAACTAAAAGGCACTTTTTTAATATAGAATTTTAGCTTATTTTCAAATTGAGAAATCTGGAGCTCTCAACTTTTTCTCAAAAGTGAATGATGCAGAACGAAAGAGAAACCAGTTACTCTCATCGAAATATTTGCATCGTTTTGCCATGTATTGGAAAAAAGCACATTGATAAAATGTACCTTTAATATTATATCATATTTAAAAAAGTTTATAAGTACAACTCCGCGGGACCGTGGGAATTTTACACACAAGAAAATTAATTTACTCGCGAAACTAAGGGCCAAGTATATGATGTATGACTGGGTTTTTAGTTTTTCTCTCTGACACCTGTAACTTGAAACTACAACAAGTAATTTTTAAGCAAAAAAACAAAACCGACTTCAATTTTCATATAAAAAGCTAAAATTATCGTTAATTTCTTCATGATCCAATGATCGGATTTAAATCAATTACAGCTTTCCTTTAAAAAAAATTAGAATTATAGAAATCGGTTAACGTGTCCAAAGTTATGCGGTAACAAACATAAAAAAATATATTCCGACGAATTGATAACCTTCTCC